TCATCCAGGAATTCTAATTTTCGCAAAACTTTCAAGAATAAAATTACATAAACAAATAAAGAAGAAGAAAATTATGCGGTGTTGAATAATACTGCTAGGGCAAAAAAAAAAATACCAAAGCAACTGTTGCAATACTACTGAAATTAAAAAATTATACAGAACGCAATTTTATTTCTTTCATTAATTTTGTTAAATTAATTTTTAATTTTGTTTAAATTTTAAATAAAATTTTTAATATGAATTTCGTATACCTTCTTTTATTTCCGAAGAAAAAAACAAAATTGTTGCTTCTCTTCTTTCATAATTGCGAATAATTATTTTATGTTCTTCTTTTTGTTTCTTGATAAAGAAATTTGCAAAAAAAATTTTTCCCACATAATAAATTCTGTGGTTCCAAGAGAAAAATTTTAAAGTTTAAATTTAATTAAAATAAAATTGTAACATTGTAACTTTGAATCTTAATTTTGGAACTATTTGAACAAATAAGGTACATCAACAAAATTCGACGCACTGAATACGGTTCAAATCCTGAAAAATTCTAATTACCAAAAAAATAAAATGGCATCAAACGTAAAATGAGTATAGTTGTTTCATCGTAACTATTTATAAATGCAATTTGTTCAATTTTAAATCTTATCATAGGTTTAAGAGCTTCTTTACAGCCTATAATAAGCTTTACTGTAAATATTGAGCTTTGAATTGTTGCAATAACTTTTTGCAACGTAAGTAAGATTTCTCGCTTTAAAATTTCTAAAAATATTTCCTCTTTGCTTTCTGAGAAAATCATTAAAAGTTTGGAACTTAATCAATAATAATTTTTCTCCGAGTCAAATTCGGCAACTTATGAAATTCTTAAATTTCGATTCCAAACTATATTGCGTTGAGGCTATTTATTTCTGATGTCATTACAGAGTATTTTATTATATAATTCCAATATTAAATCTATCGGGAATTTTATAAACTACGACAATTATAACCATAACATGTATTTTTCAAAATTTCATAATAATCATGATTTGTCGTCACTTATTAATAAGAAACTCATTTAAAATACAATTGCATAAAATAAAATGTTCCTGAAATCATAGTCGTTGATAAACAGTGTTCCACTTGATTTGCAGAAATTTGTAAAATCTTCCTATACATTTATAAATTTACAAAAGCAATTTGGGAATTGAACTTTAAATAAAATTTATTAAATATCAATTTATTAACATTTTTTTTCAAAATCTAAAGAATTTTATACTATTTTCCTATACATAGAGAAGTAGATTTTTCTATATAATTGCCTATATTTTAATTATACAACTATTTTATATACTACATTAACAATTTTCTTTTAATTCAAAAGGAAATTTTTTGTTTGAAAATAAATTGCCCGTATTTGCTTTTCGGTTTTTATTATGTGAGACTTTCTAAGAAGATCTGAGACAGTATTCCATCCTGATCAATTATTAGCATTACAAAATAATGAAAATATTTTGGAAGAAGTTATTAGAATCAATTACTTTTGAATAATTTAAGATTTTATTAAAATAAACATTTTAAAAATTTTTAAAAATACATGAACACAGTAGAGAAATTTAAATGTAAAATAATGCTAGAATTAGTGCACTTTCAAATACACTTAAATTGCAAAAATTTTTACAATGAATATTCGTAATTATTAAAAATTTTGTATTAAAATAATTTCGCCAACCCAAAACCTTAAGTTTTTCGTTCTGGAATACCTTCTTCTTCTATAAATCTTGAAACTTTCAAATAGTTCTAGTTTCTGGAACATTTTTTTTAAAAATATGGCAATATCATAATTTTTAAACATGGGTCTTGTTTTTTTGAAAATACCAATCAATAATAATCAACTCAATAGTATTCAAAATTATTAATGTAATTAATTTAATAATAAAATAATCACAATTTTTAAATAAAAATTATGGCTGTTGGTTTACAACAATGTGGTTTTATTGATTTCTATTTAAATTCGATTGGTGACCCAGTGAAATAATTTTTATCAAAAAATATTTTTCTATATGCATATAGTTGTACATTTTACAACGATATAATGCAAGCTCAATACTTATACAGTAGCGTTGCCGTATTTTCTTTTAAACTAAATAATTGCATACATTTAGGATGAGCAAAATGAAAAAAAAAATTAAAAATGAATGATTGATGGTTGAATTCGACGCAGAGTGAGTTCTAAATTTCCTATTAAGTTGTTATTTTTATAAAAATTTGAAAAAGATTGCAGTTTCAGAAATGTAGGGCGCCGATAATTCAAATTTTACGAATTTCGAGACGCGATTACTTAGAAAGTAGTGAAGATGAGCAAAAAAAAATTTTTTAGTAATATCAAAATTCTAACAATGTATACAAGTTGCTACAACTTCATAACTCTACAATTACTTAGTAGTAAAAAATTCCCGGTTTCAGATAACATTTAATGTTAATGGTTATTTTAATGTTTGGCTATGTTAATTTGTATAGCCAAACATTAAAATATAATTTGTACTGAAACTATTCTACTTGTAGATTACGATTTTAATCTTATATTTCGAGTAATAATTATTCAAGTATACAAAAATATGAAGTTAAATTTTAATATAAAATATTAAAAATTGAAATTGTACTTCAGTTTGAGCTGAGAGTTTGAGCAAACAACTGCAAATTAATTTAAGACAATCTTGTTAACTATAATTACTTTAGTTTAACAATTCAAGAGCAAATAATTAGTCAATCTCAAAATATTAATTATTAAAACTTAAAATTAAAGACGAAAAATCTATTCTTCAATAATTTGCCATTCTTAGGGACTCATCGTGTGCCAAGCTATTTTACCAAGTGAGAAGAAATTGAGTAACTATCATAAATTTGAATAACTGTATACAAAATTTATTAACTTTGTTTTTGAAAGTCAGACGTTTTGAGAATTTGAGAAAATTATTGTTGACTGCTGTTTTGAAAATATGAGTAATCTTATTGGAAAAATTAAATATCCATTAGAAAAATAAAGAACTCTGATAAAGAAAATAAAGAGTAAAAAGAAAAACCAAGATACACAAATAAATTTAAAATTAACAACCGTTAATAATTTATTTCCAGAACAAATCGATTTTTTCATTTAACTTAAAAAATCGATGACAATTCATTTAGGTTTAATTATTTAATTCATTTTGGATCTTAAAATATATAATTAAAGGAAATAAACATTATAATTTTTATGGGGACATTAGTTGCAACACGTCACAAGTTTTGTTTATTATGTAAAATGGCGTATAAAAGAGACAATATTATACACATAATATACGTATTTGATATCCGGTGTACAGTAATTAATTATGGATCTTAAAGGTCCTTTCATATTTAACCTTGTTCTTTAATGTGCTTTTTTAATGTTCTTTTACTTATTATTCACATTAAACAGTTTAAATTAAAAGAATTATTAATTTTTATGTTTAAAGCTAATTTTGCACCTCTTAAATATTATTTTAAAATAATTAAAAAAACTTTTATTTTACCTTAAATAACAAGGATAATAAAGGAAATCTGCTACATTTTTTAAATTGGAATAAAAAAAAAAAAAACAAAGCAAACATTTGGGGTAATAAAAATAAATGTTTTTTTTTAATGTTTGGGTGTGTGTTTCTTACTTTATTTATTCATACAATTATGGAATATAAATTAAATTTAATTTAAAATATAATAAAAATTATAATGAAATTTTATTACACCAACATTTTTATAATTTTATTAAAATAATCAAAAAAAATTTTGAAAAGTGGATCAATTGTTTTATTGGTGGTAAAATAAAGAATTTTTAAAACAAAGCTTTAAATTTAATTTTAAAACTCATACACTTAAATTTATTTATAACAAGAATTTATATAAAATAACGTACTTTAAGAGAAGAACGAGAATAGGGGTCAGCTCTGTGACACTTGAACGTTAAATTAGAACAATCATATTTGCAATTCATAGAGTTTTGCGTCATGATTTTCAAGTTTTATACATATAAAATTTTTGAAAATAACAACCCTATTCATTTTATCCGCTTATTGGAAATTTTAGTACAGAGTCTTACTGAAACAATAAATTACGGCCCAATTACTTTTGCAGTTGAATGTCAATATCACTGACTCGACCACCCAATTAATTAAATATAGGATTCTGGTATTTAACACTATAAGCAAGTTTTCCTAAATGTAAATAAATAAGACTTTGTAATTTAATCTTTTGAGTGCACACATGTTCCACTATGAGATTAGTTTACTTTCAACTCTCAAGAGCGAATGCAAAAAATTTGAGAATATAAGAAACTGTAATTGTTTTTATTACACAGAGATATTAAAAAATAAAAAATTTAAGCTCTTTAAGGACAATATTCAAAAATGGTACATGTGTGCACTCAACGTATCTAAAAAATAAGTGTGCACTCAAATGGTTAATTATTTCAAGATATTTATTGTTGAAAATTAATTTATTATTTGGGTAACTTCAGATTAAGAACCTCATTAAATTAATAAAATATATGGGGCACAATGTTCTTGGATCATTTAACATATTAGAAAATTAATTTCAATAATAGTCTTGCTAATATCAACTAAATAAGAAGTATATAATTGGTAATATCTTGCAAAAACAATAATAATTAATTAATCAGAAAAATTTAAGAACTGAATCTAGGTACAATTTCAATTACCACTAACTATATTCCTTAAAATGTACTGAATCTAGGTACAATTTCAATTACCACTAACTATATTCCTTAAAATGTACTGAATCTAGGTACAATTTCAATTACCACTAACTATATTCCTTAAAATGTTAATTATGATTTATGACAAATATCTCTCTAATTAATGTTACAATTAAATTAGAATACAAAATTTTCAATTAATGAAAATGAAATTTATTTAAAATAAAATTTAATATTTCTTAAAACAATTATTAAATATATAAAAAATTTAAATATGATTTCAAAAATATTAAGAACTACTCACCTTAAAATATGAATTATTTTTTAATTTTATTTACAAAATATTTTAAATAAAATTTTATTTTATATATAAAATTAACCACAATTTATTTTTCGCCTTAAAATTTTTATAATGTTATTTATAATATTTTAGGAAATTTTTTCAAATGAAAAAATTATTTAAAAATTTCTATTTAATTTTCTTTTTAAAATATTATTTATTAATTATTAATTATAATATATTGATAAAATAAATTTAATATTTTACATAAAATTTGCAAATAAATTTTTATTAAAGCTAAAAATTTATAAAAATCTAACAATGTATCTACAAATATTTTAATTATAAAAATCAAAATATTCTAAAATTTAAATTATTAAAATTCTCTATTAAATAAAATTTTTTTAATATTTATATATTAAAATATTCAAATTTTTCAAAAAAATTTTTTTGTTTTATTAGTTCTAATATGAATTAAAATAATTTTTTATTTTAAATATTTATAACAATATACTTGTATAACAGTTATATTCTGTTATACTTGTATAACAGAAAAATATTAATTATTTTTTAACAAATAATTTTAATAAATTTGCAATAACAATTAATGTTAATAAAAAAAAAAAAAAAAATATAATATCAATTCGTTTCTAAAATTTTGAAATTTTTTTGTTTTTTTGAATCAAAATTGTCCTTTAAATTACAATTCATTTAATATTTTATAATAATTAATCTAGAAAATCATATATACCTATTTAATATTTATTTGATATTAAATTACAAATCACATTATTTCAGAAAAATTCTAATATTTATTACTAATTTTAATTATTACATATTTTTAATAATTATTTATTAATTTTTATTTATTATTTAATTTTATCAATATTTGTTCTTATTCTGTTTAAAATTATAAATTGTTTTTAATTTAATTGAGTTTTATTATTACTTCATTATTGCATTATTTTATATAATTATATTGTAATTATCATATTATTACTTCATAATTAATTATATTTAATAACATTTCGATTATTGGCTATTTTGTGTTTTTATTAGAAAAGCAAAATATTCTTATTTAATTTAATGAAGTTTCTTTTTCCAGTGTAAATTTCTAAATATATTTTTATATAGCATAAGTACTTTAATAAGCAAATCTCTTATAGTAATTTATATGATAATTAATAAAAAAAAAAATAAAATTAGTTTTATTAATATTTTAATTTTTTTTAATATTTTATTTTAATTATTATTTGTTATAATCATTATTATTATTGTTATGATTATTATTATAATTATTATTGTTCCTCTTTATATGAATTAAATATGCATTTTAAATTTTTTCTTACATAATTATTTAAAATATTTTATAATTATTTTTTATAATAATTGACTTTAATTTGTATAACTATTTTTTTTAATTAATTAATTTACATTTAATAAATTTTACTGTTATTATAACATTTTATTAATTTACGGTTATTTTATATACTTGTAAAAGTTTAATTTATTAAATTTCTCCATATATGCAGGATTTCTTTTATGAAAAATTTATTTTGCCTTCATTTTTTTTGAACACTATTTTATTAATTTCTAAAATTATAAATAAATTAACATTCGATTATTTTTAATATAATATATAGTTAATATATTATTAATCGGAAAACTAATAATAATAATTAATATAAAAAAAATATTTATTAATTCATAATATAATAGATTATTTAATTTTAATATTAAATTATAAAAATTTAAGCAATGAAAATATAATAAAAATATTATGAAATATTATTTTACATTAATTAAAATGAAATATAATTAAAAAAAAAATGCTAAAATAAAATTTAAAATAAATTTGACACAAGCTAATTAGTAAACAACAAAAATAACAGTTTAATCACAAAATTTATTTGACTTTTAATTAATTTTATTATTATTATTATAACTGTAAATATTTAATAACAAAATAAAATATTAATTAAAACAAATATAATAATTAAAAATAAATTTAATTTTAATTTTTAATTATGATTAATAGTTTTTTTTTTTCTTTTTTTATTAATTTTTTCATAATTATTTTTTTTCTCTTTCTTTATTTTATATTTTGTTTCGAATTTCTTTAAATTTTCTTCTATTTTCTTTTTCGTAATAATTTTTAAAATAAAAAGCCAACACTTAATTTCAATGCACTCTCAATTAAAACTAATTTTAATTATTTTTTTATTATTCTTATTTTTTTTTTTTTGCTAAAGTATAACATTTTATAAATTAATTCATATATATACACATATATATTTATATATGTATGTGTATATAATTATAATAAATTATATTTATAGTATTAATTATATTTTACTATATTTAAAAACGAAAAAAAAAAACTAAAAATTAAAAAGAATAATAAGAATAAAAAAATACAAAAAAAAAAAAAAAACAATAAAATAATAAAAAAAAAAAAGTAGTATAAAATATGAAAATTTATTATGTTCGAAATTCGCATCCGTACAGTAACACGCACGTTAAACGAATAAAATAGTACGTTAAAATACCGTTATTTATTTGTTATCCGTCATAAAGAACATAAAGAGATAAAACGAATTATGTATGCATTGTATACATGCTATACTTATATACATATATAAAATAATATCTATACACACATTTATACACTTATATATTATACACATATATATATATTTAATTTTCGTCTTCTGTTATATTCTTTTATATTTCTATTATATTTTTATTATTATTATTTTTTTTTCTTTTTATTGAATTTTCTTCATTTCTTCGTAGATTTTTTTTCATTTTTATCGTTCTTATTCGACTTTACGGTTATATTGCATGCTCTTAACCGTTATAATTTTTGTTTTTTTGTTTTTTTTGTTTCCTTTTCTTTTTAGTATTCTTTTATTTTTATATGTTTTTGTTGCTGCTGTTATATTTTATAATTTTTTATTATTTATTCTCTTTGATTGTATATGTTTCATTTATGTCGTATATATTTTAAGTCTTTATCTTATTGTTTTTGGTTTTTGTTGTTGTTCTTGTTTTCATATTGTAATTATAACGTATTTTTATTTCTTACATATTATTTTTCTTTTATTTTATGATTATTATAGGTTAGGTTTTCGTTTTTTGCTTTTGGTTTAACGGTATAATTTGATGTATTGTTGTCAAAAATTATAAATTATGTACGTATGTATAAATGTGTATATATGTGAAATGCATAATTAGATGAAAAGATTTATTATAGTATACATTTTTTTTGTTTTTTTTCTTGTTTTGCATTTTATTTTTTCTCAAATTTTTAATATTTTTTTATTTTATTATTGCAGTTACTCTTAAATATTGAATTTTATTGCATATTTGTTTTTGTTTTTGTTATTTTTTCTTTTCAAAAGTTTAAATTTAATTACATTGTTTCGAAACTAATTCAAAAAAATTAAAATAGAAAAAAAAACAGAAAATCAAAAATAATTTTTTTTCTTTTTTTTTTGGTTTTTTGTTTTTTTCGTTTTAACGATAGTTTTGAGTTGTACGTGCGTACGTAGTGTGTTGTACCGGCAAATTATAAAACTACACTAAATTTGGAAAATTGTGCATTTTATCCGTTATTTACGAATAGAAAAGAAAAAAAAAAACAAGAAAATTTTTTTCTTCTTTTTTTTCATTTTTATTTTATTATAAATTTTACAATACACAAAATTGCAAGAAAATTTTTTTATATTATATAGAATTTTTACTACAAGAGTATGTTTCATATATATATATATAATATTTGTATGTAAAATATTAAATGTATATGTATATATAGGTGTGTATGTATAATTTATTTTTCTATAATATTTTGTTGAAGAGCTTTTTTAATGTCTTTGTTTCATTTCTTTCTTGTTTTCATAGTATTTTTTAATATTTTCTCTTTTTTACTTAGATAAAAATCCGAAGATAATACGAACGACCGAAATATTTGAAAATACGAAATGATTTTTCTCTTCTCTTAAAAAATTATTTGTTGTTATTTTACAAATTTCTATAAATTACATATACATATACCTACGTATGTATATTATAATCAAAAAATTCTCGATATATGTGGTATGCTCTTAAAACATTTGAATATTTTGAAAATTAACTTAATTTGTTTCAACACATTTTTATGTAATTATTATGTAAAAAAAATTAAATAACAAGGAAAAGGAATTTTTTTCTTTGTTTAGAATAATCCTGTTTCTATATTTTTTGGGTTCCCTTTCTGTTTATATCAGTTTTTACTCCAATATGACAATTTCTTTACACGTTTTGCTTTAACATCGACTTTTGCTTAAAATAAAAAAAATGGAATTTCGTAGTACAAGTTCAAGTTGCGAGCAGAAAATATATTAAGCTTTGAATTATATATGGTACAAAAGAATTTTTAAATTGTCGGTAAAGATAAAATAACAAAAAAAAATTGCCATTTAATATGAATGACAGGATTTATCGCTGGCACCCCACACTATTAAATTTTTCTAATAACCTTCCAATTTCTCAAATTTCTAAAGAGATTTTCAATGAAATCATTTCCTCTCCTAAAAAAAATTCGAATTCTTATTTTAAATGCTAGAATAAAATAAATGATATCTTAAAAATTTGGTATTTTAGAAACCCCATCATAATTTTAATGCCTGAATTGATACAAAAAACTTCAAAGGAATAAAAGGCCTAAATTTTAAAAATTTTCCAAAAAAATTAAATTTTTTTGCTCTAGATAATTTATTAAGTACGAGTCTTACAACTCAATCTTTTGCCATTTATTCGACCCCAATTACAATATCCTATTGAAAATGCAACTATATAACTATATAAACAGTGTAATATAAGAATATTATGAAATGTGTTAAACCAGCACATAAACATTTTTCTTCACTGATCATTAATAAGCAATGACGTCAATTACATGTTATTATTTTCATCTCATTTTTACCCATATTATTTTGTTTCCCAAAACCAAGGAATTGATTCAAGGATATTCCTTGTAAACTACTTCTGCAAAATATTTTTTAAAATTTTATTATAATTATTAAAAATATAGAGAACATTTTTATTTTGTTTTCAAAAATATAAAATTTCCAAGATATTTTTTGAAA